CCAGCTTGCTCCATCCCCCTTCCCCGCCCTCCTCCGTCCGAGACGCCGCTGTCGCCTCAGGAACACCGCTCTCCGCTCGCCCTGCCCCCCTTCCCGGTTCTTCCTTACCCCTCACCCCCCACCAGCAGCCGCAGCCGCCTCTACCCACGGGCGCGCCCCCGCCGCCACCCGGACGCGCGAACCCGCGCTGCGGCCCCGCCGGTTTTTATTATTTTAAGACAGGGTCTCACTCTGCAGCCCAGATTGCCCTTGAATTTAATGACAATCCTCTTGTCTCAGCTCCCCAAGTGCTAGGATTATAGGTATGACCCGCTACGACTAGTTTAACATTAATCTTTATATTAACATAGCTGCTAAATCTAATTTTTAATTACTTTTAATGGAAGAAGGGGCTTACAGAAACCAATATTTCAGGGTCATAGTATTTGAACCCTCTTGATGTGGCATGCCCTGCAAAGAGGACTCATGCAGCAGCAAAGAGCACTGGGCAGAGGACCTGAGGCTGAGTCTCATCTGTCATACCCACTTTTGTAATATTTGGAAAGCCACCTCATCTCCTGGACTGCAAAGAAGGGATTGAATTCTATTTCTGGATTATTACAGTTTAGAGATTCTATTATTCTAGGCCAGAATAAGTAACAAGGAAATGAAGTTCCTTCATAAAAAGTTTTAAGCAGATATAGAAAGTATTATTTGTTACTTCCTGAGCTTACAGCAGGCACTCAATAAACAGTTGTTGAATAAAAGACTTTAACTTTGATGGTGCTGAGTTCTCAACCTCCAAACACAGACCCCGGGAGGATGTGAGGCACAGACAATCATCGGCCCATGGCCGTTTCTGAATCTGTTTGGTTTTTTTTTTTTAATTAAGAAAAGTTATTATCTAACTAAGCTTAAAGATGCCTGCAAACTGACACCTCTCACTGAATTCAAACCTAATTGTCAACATAATTGCCCATCGAAGAGCCTCACCAGTTCAGCTGGACCTCCAGGAATAACAATCTCTAGGGCAGGGCTGCTAACCTGCCCAGGAGCTTCCATTGTCCACAGAATATTCATGAATCTGAACTCTGAAACTCTGGTGAGCCTCCAGCTCTTGGAGGTTGCAGCATGGGTAGGACTCAAAGTCTATTGATCCTCTAATTTCTTTATGCAGAACACTATATCAGGGTCAATATAATGAGAGGAATGTTCCCTAACCCCAGCAGCTCCCTAGACAGTTTCTACCCACTAAGGCCATAAAAGAGTGCTTGCTAACAAAAGCTTGATATCTTGATCATTTTGTGTTTTCTTATAACTAACCAAGACTGGGTAATTTATAAGGAAGATCGATTTATTTCATCATGATTCTAAAGGCTGGAAACCCTAATATCAAGGTATCAGCATCTAATAAGAGCTCTCTTTGCATATCAGAAGAGCAAAGAGGCAGAAAGAGGCAAAAGAGGACCAAATCCATCCCAGGAAAGCAAACTCACCTTATAGGAGCTACATCAATCCATTCCTAAGGAGAAAAATCTCTTAAAGGCGCTACCCTCAGTACTGTTACAATGACAATGACATTTCAGTATGAGTTTGGGATGGGACAAACATTCAAAGGATATTCTGCAAATACCCTGCCTTCCAGATCCCTGAAACTGATTTTTCAAAACCCTAGAAATAGGTGTAAGTTTTAAGGTTATCTTTATTAAAATAGCATTGATGATTGCTGGATGAATCTTATTCACCGCGACTATAAAAATCCCAAAGGGAAACACCAACTAGGAGAGAAAACTGATAATATTGTTCTAATATTGCGTTAGACGAAAACTCTGGTCCTTCTGAAGAAGTCTTTCAGTCACGACTCATGTGGGCTCAGCCACAGGCATGCTGGGACCGCAGAGGGGATTTCAGTGAAGAGCCAATCCAGAACTGGAATGAGCTTGTGCTCAAGTCAGATTCTGAGGTGCTTTTCCTCAGGCAGAGCTGCCTGATGATTTCAGCCAAATTAGTGTTATACGTTCTCCATCTGTGAAAGCTGTTCCTGTGAGAGGAAGCCCCGACCAGGCACTAGCTTGGACAATATGCTCAAGGAAAGAAGAGCCTATTTTCTCTGCATTTTACACAGCAAGGGCGAAGCTGAGCTCAAAGCTCAGTGCCCAGAGCTCCACTCCACTGGCTGGTGATAATGCCTACAATCTTGTCTTCTATCTCAGTGCCATGTCTGTTTTGAGGGAAGCAAATACAGGTGGAGGTTGACTGGCTGGGGAGGGAGCTGACTGGTTCCAAATTTGTGCCTTGATTGATTATCCAGAGTAGACTCAGAAAATGCTGAAAGTAACTTTGTTCTCAACCTCAGGGATGCTCTGCATGGAAAATGAATCATTGTGCCTTTCAGGGTACGCTAGGGAAACTTGTGAACGATGCCTCGGCTTTTCTGTCGTGGCCTAAATTCCTGTCTTCACTTTGAGCTTCTCCCCCTCCCCAACACTTTCTTGGTATGATATAATATAAAAAAATGCTATCATCAGTCACCAGATACATTTTAAATTATGTGATAGATCCCGAGAGATATATAGCCAAATTGGATATTAATGATAAGAAGACAAGCCCTTTCATCCTCCAGTGCAGACATTTTCAAATTATGCTTCATTGCTGAGCCTTTGTGTCTCTTAAACATCCAATTTTACACATTTTGCTGTTTCTTTTAAGTACTGATTAGATAGGGTGGCATTCTGACTTCTGTGGTTGTGTTCAGTCAATATTTTTGCTGTTTTCTACTTCAGTATCTCCCATTTTCTTAAGATCCTTTAGACAATGGTCAGTTCAGCTTTTTAGCAATGGTTTGTGTTACATTCTGATCAAAGCAAGGGGTTTTGTTCACCGAGCGCTATACAGATTTGCAGAGCCATGGGAAGCAAGTCACACAGTGTAATGTAAAACCAACAGAGGCCACAGAATGAAATACTGAAGCCTTAATAACAACGGCAAGCACACCGGAAATGTGTGTTACAAATGAGAATGCCAAATGGATTTCCAAAACACATTTAAAATATATGAATATTGTTATCAGGATCTGGTTCTTCATTCTTTCTTGATCCTCAGAGAATGTAACAGCAGGAATATTGGGAAAAAGTATTTCTCTGCATGTAAAGGCTGGCCTCTGTAGTGCATCCCTGTAATCCTCCTACTAGGAAGATGGAGACAGGAGGATCCCTGGGGCTTACTGGCCAGCCAGTCTAGCATAATCAGCAAGCTTCAGGTTCAATGAGATCCTTTCTCAATAACCAAGGTGGATGGTGCCTGAGTAGGATTGATACTCCATGTTTACTTATGGCCCTTATGGCCTCCATACACAGGTGCAATATGTGCACCAGGACACAATATTGGGAAAAAGTATGAGAGAGAGATAGATAGATAGAGAGAGAGAGAGAGACACAGAGAGAGAGAGACAGAGAGAGAGAGAGAGAGAGAGAGACAGAGAGAGAGAGACTCATGTAGCCTAGGCTGGTCTTGAACTTGGCATGTAGTTGAGGATAACCTTGAACTTCTGACCCTCCTACTTCCACCTCCTGAGTGCTGGAATTATAGTTGTGTGCTACCAGCTTGGCTTATGCAGTGCTGGGGATCAAACCCAGGTCTTTGTGCATGCTAGGCAAGCACTCTACCAAACTGAGCTATATCCCAAGACTCCCTAAAATCCAAGTGCTTGGATGAAGCTTAAATATCCTTCATGATCCAGCCTCTGCTTCCTTCCCCATACTCACTGGGGAAGGAATGTCCCATGGGTCCACCATCCTCGATTCACTGGGAAGCCTCCCAGATCTCTCTCTTGCATCTCCTTTTGACTGGTCCACACTCATTCTACTAGCAACAAGGTTGAACTACAGCCCCATCCTCCACTGTAACCCGGAGGATGAGTTCTAAAGCAGTAAGAACCATGTCTACCTGGTCAACAATAGCTATTTTTTAAACAAATGAATTGATTTTTAAAAGCTGAGGTTCAGAGACCTTTAGTTACTTGATAACTATTTAATAGTAGAGGTGGAGATCTGAACCTATTTGTCTAGACCCAAATCTAATGCTCTCCTTGCAGCACCCTAGTGTCTCTCATAAATGATCAAGTGTGAGCCACTCAGACGTTCATCCTGGCTAGGTCAAAACAGGCACACAGGCTGTACCAGGAGACAAAATGGGACAGGAAGGCTTAATCATGTTGCATAAAACTTTGAATGCTAGCTTAAGGAATTAGGACTCCCTTCTATAGACAATCAGGAATCATGGGTGTTTGGGGAGTATGGTCATGACAAGAGCAGAGCAACTGTGTTTCCTTGTAGCTTCCAAAATTGAAAATGAGGACATTCAGAAA